GGGTTAGGGTTAGGGTTAGGGTTAGGGTTAGGGTTAGGGTTAGGGTTATCGTATATATCGTATAAAATCGTATATATAATATCGTACCAAAAGCAATTGTAGTTATTATTCGCCGATAGATGGCGCTGGCATCACTACCGTGACTTTAAGAGAAAAAACATCGGCGACGGTACCGTTGCAGGAGACACAGCCATATAATATAGGCAGATGAAGCATGACTCCCATGAGTTTAATTAGGTTACTTAATTACTATACTTAATTAGGTTAGGTTAATTAGACACTGATTGAAACGAATCCAGCCAGGCATACAAGTATCAGTGTTCCGCTATGTAATGACTCATTCCGCTATGTAATGCTCATTCCGTATATTCAGTTATTTTGACAACAGTATATTCAGTATTGACCGGTATACTCAAAATGTATATCATATACTCATATACAGTGCATGGTTAGAAAATGAAAACAAATAAAAGCTAAAGAGTATATACAAATGATAACATATTATGTATATGTACAAGTCTGTGTGAAGGTTAGTGAGGTAAAACAGCAATGTCCTATCGAAAAAGCTTATAGAAGCTCTCGAAATAAGGAATGAGGTAGAATGAGGTAAAGAAGATTATGCAATATATAACCGGTATTTATACAATATTGGAGATTCGTGTACAATATATGTACAATACAATACATTATAATAATGTACATACATGTACAATACATACAAATCTATACACACTACATTACAATACATGTACAATACATACAAATCTATACACACTACACTACAATACATGTACAATACATACAAATCGATACAACACAATACATTACAATGCACAGGACAGTGACAATACAATTCATCTACAATACAATATAAAAACAATGTAAAATACAATACATTACTATATATACAGTTCAATACAATGCAATATATTACAGTGTACAGTACAGTGACAATACAATCCATGTACAATATAAACAACCCTGGGTACGGTCCGGTATAGCGGAACGTACCCTGGTCACTATTTGATATGGTTAGGGTTAGGATTAGGGTTAGGGTTCGGGTTCGGGTTAGGGAGTAGGCATAGGTGACTCCCTAGCCTCGTTAGTGGAGTAGGCGAGGTAGGGTTCGGCATATTAGATAGTACCAGGGTACGTTCCGGTATACCCCACCGTACCCAGGGTACGTTCCGGCAGTACCCCGGGGGTCATAGACCCTCTCAGCTCAAGTAGGCCCCTACCCGTAATCTTGCATTCTTGGTTCAATGATAGAGAACATGGATCCCATTGAGACCTATGTCATTTTCGTAAATGTGAGGGTAGCCCCTTTAAAATCGACAGGGGTGCTGTTGAGGGTGTTCTTTGTTCATTTCGACCGATAAACATTATGTGAATTAACAGGAAGTGTCGAAAAAAATCCGTTGAAGCGACCCTACCCGCCAGTTTTCGGCCGTTCCTGACCATTGCGACCCGCGAGAATTTCCCGTCACCTTCCTCTGCTAGGGCCCTGAAATCTAGCGCGAGAATCTTTACTTTACTTAAATGCTGTGGCTACAGGTACGGCAGCCGTATCTTAATGTCTCGAGGCTGGAGGTACGGCAGCTAGTCCATTCGCTTTCATGCTTAACGAGACAATTAAAGATGGCGGCGGGTGGCGCCAGATTTCGAAATAACGCTTTGGGAAATAAATTCACGATTTGAGAGTTTACTGTTTAGATGAGCTAGAACCCTAACCGGGTTAGGGTTGGGTTAGGGTTATAACTTATAGGGTTAGGGTTAGTAACCCTAACCCTATAAGTTATAACCCTAACCCATCCCTAACCCTACACAGGCACTTGGACCGTTTCAATAATAAAATGATGGTTAATAAATACAACCTGTCAGTACTAGACCTACCAGTACCAGTACCAGTAATAGTCTTAATGTTTGATTTGACCTAATAACTTCACTTCAACACCGTCCAATGCACCGCTGCAACACATAGCGCGCACGCCATAAATTGTGCATGCACAAATACACAGTGATATAGAGAAGGTAAGAAAGCGTTCGCACAGAAATTCCAGAACGCTCGAATCTTTTCACAACACTACAGCCGAAATACCTGTCCAACCGCCATGACATTGGCATCTGTGTGTAGCTGAATGGTCACTTGTTCGAAATATACGTCTTGCAACTTGGTACCACATACTTTACCCAGAATTATATGAGAAATCCTGCTCAAATTTGCCGCGAATTTCCTATGAAGCCGTTTCGTAAATAGGATAAGTACATGAGCAATGGCGGCGCATTGCATTCTGGGACCAGAAACTTCCTGGAAGTTGAACGGGGTGTCAGGAGGTGGTACATTTTTCCGAATAGTCTTTATACTTGGATGGTCTGTGTCTACCGCACATTTACAGTTTTCTCCAATTTTTGAGGCAACAGTAACGAAGTACTCATTAAACAGATTGCATACCTCGTTTTGATTTGAGACGGTTTCATTGTTGTGTCTCAAGTGAATTTGGTTCTGTTTAGTATTCCTCTTTTCAGAGAGAAAAGGGCGTATGGTGGACAAGAAATCGTTCCATTTTTTGCCACCACCGCATCGTTCGGAAAAATATAGCCATATTGCTTGCTTCTTCAACCTGTTTACTTTGTTTCTCTGTTTACTATATGCTTCCCAGTTCTGCCTGGATTTGCATCTTTGGTGGTTCCTATAAAGCGCCTTTTGTGATTTATCGCTTTATGAAGTTCACCATTTATAAATGGTGCTTTACTGTTTCTCTGAGTTTTCTGTTTGAATGGTATGTGTTTGTCTATGACTTCACCAAGCATCAGTTCATCAAAGACGTGGGCCACATGAAATGGTACTCGCTTAGTTCTTGTTTTAGAAGTTTCTCGTCAGTTGCTTTGAAACTTCTGTACACTAGCTCTTCCTTTTTAAAACCCTGTACATTCCCTCTAAATACTGTATACACAAGGTGATGCCAATCACTCAGTCCAGTGTCGAAAGACTTGGTACAGTACAGCTTTTCTGGTCTGTTTCTCACAATAATGTCGACCAATGAGGGGGGTTTACAGTCCTTCATGAAACATGTTGGTTTGTCTACAATGTTATGCATATCGAATGTATCACATATATCAGACATGGGTTTCCCCTTTGTTGCATCACACAGGTCAAAGTTCAGATTGCCTATAATGACAACATTCTCATAGTGAATAAACACTGAATATATGCTTCGTCCAAATGCGTATAACAATCTGAAATAAAAACATTTCCCCGTTTGCTTGGCGGTCTATATACAGACTTTACCAGCCATTTAGCTTTACCTAATTTTATTTCTACACTATATCTTCTGAGAATTCAAATTGTAACTCGGTCCTCTGCCAAGATGCAATGTCAGATCTAATATGCATAAGTATTCCACCACCATATCCTGTCCTGTCAGATCTATATAATTTATATCCATCTACCTCAAATTGGGCGTTGGGAAACGACGCATCCAGCTTGGTTTCCTGAATAGTCAAAATGTCAACTAGGTTATCATACAACATTTCATATAGCGCTATGTATTTGTATCTGAAACTGTTTATGTTTATGTGCGCCATAATAACGTTCTTGTTGTGTTTCGCTCTCGTCTCTCGGCGTTCACGAAATAGCATGTCCTTGTCTCGTGATCTGTTCTCTTCATCGTTTGTTCCGCTATCGCTAATCGACCCCTTGTTTGTGTCGGAGACCGAGTCGGTCGTATTGTCAAAGAAGGAGTCACTGAACAGTGGTAGTGTACACCGATCACAATACCAATCGCAATCAGTAGTCGATAATCGATTGTACTCAATGTTGTTTATTCCGACACACTTGGCATGGTGCCATAGTTCACATGTACCATCACATAGATGATTATCACATGATGATGTATCAACTAGGCCTATCATCTAGCTGGTTACGAACAAGTTTAGTTACCGGTACTTATTCTCAGGCTAACTTTACCCTGCTCAGAGAACATTAGGATTATGTGATCACTGCCTCCGTACCTGTAAATATCGCAGCGGGAGCAACTCTGCTCCCACCTTACCACCACGCTCACTTTACAACACATGTAAACATTGGTTCCCACTGACAGTATCAGTAATGACAGTATATGTATGTATGC